TGTCCACTTCCCTGTGATACAGGAATCTTGTCAGGCTGGGCGGGAGGCTCTGAAGCTGCAGATGGCTAAGAGGCTGCCCTGTCAAACCTGAAAGGCTGGTTCCACGGTTGGGTGCTGCCCTCCCCGAGCCATCGGTCGAGGGGGTCTCCAGCCCCTTCGGATGGCGGAGGTGAGCTCTGACTGCACCCGCAAGGCTTCTATGGTATCGTCCCTGCTGTATAGCAATGCGGACGAGAGGCGATGGTGTCCCTGAAGCGTTCTGCTGTCTTCCGGAAGGCGTAGCTGCGCAGCTGCACTGAGTAATGCGCATTTAAGGCTGTGAAGGGTAAACGAAGATGCCTCGTGCTGGGTAACCAGCTGACCGCCTTCCGATTTCCATGGCAACTGTATGGCCCAACGAAGGCAAACCAGTGCCTGCAAATAGGACATTGGGCGCGAAAGGCTGGGGCATACGTGAGACTCCAGGTTTGGAACGCAGGGCAAAATGAAGTCGGGCACAAATGAATCTCCCCATTCGGCGTGGGTGGCGTCAAGGGCTTGACTGAGCAGGGCCAGCCACTTCACTAGCCAGGATGTGCTGATATCTTCACCTCGGAAACCGAAAGGCAAGCATGCAAAGGGCTGTCCCTGGCAGGTAGTCTTGGTGGCCCAACACAGGCCCCGAAGTGCCTGCGCAGACAGCGAGAGAGCAGAGGGCTTGATCCTCTGAATGTCGCCAAATCTTAGGCTGCAATGGGCGCACAAAAGCCTTGCCCTTGCCACTGGCCATTCTTGCAGCGTGGGAGGAACACATAGTCTCCCCCACTTGCACGCCCGCTGTGGGCCTGTTACTAGGCGCCCTGCTTCCCGTCGGTCGTGTGGTTTAGGGTTGTAGGCGAAGGACTTGATTAAGGGGCTGCCCATCAAGTCTAACAGGCTAGATATCTGCCCAATGCGTGCAAACCAAGACAGTGCCTTGCTCATCATGATGGCACTGCATTTAAGTGCTGCGCGGTCCTCTGCTTGGGACACATGGCAGCCTGCGATGAAATCTGAAAGGTGGGCCAGGGTAAGGCTCAGCAAATCACCCACGCACTGATGTACAAAGGTGAGAAAAAGGCGGATGGCACGGAGGTACTGCGACAGCGTGCCCCCCGAAAATTTTCGCAGTGATGCTTCAACAAGAATCTGCGGGTGCTGCGAGGCTTCCAGGGCTTGCGCCAGCTTGCTGCTAGCGACGCAGGATTTGAGTATCAAAACCCATTCGGCCGTACACTTGTCCTTCAGTGTGGCTTGCAGCTGAGCAGTAGAGGAGGGCTCAGCCGGGCGGACAGGGCCATACGGCCTGGGCATTGTAGGCCTGGTGCCGAACACGCGGCGTGAGGGCAACACTGCGGGTGGTGGGCTGAGCAGGGATCGAATCTGGTCTGTGCGTTCCTGGCTGACTAGACTGCGCGGCCAAGGCCTGCAAGGCGGCTTGGGCAGGGGGCAGGAAACAGGGTCTACCCAGGGCCTAGGGCAAGGAGGCAGTGCTGTGTGGCTCCGCAGTTGAAAGCGGAGATCGCTAACATAGGCGCGCACTGGGTAAGGTCTGGACCGACTGCCATGATCCTTGCCTGAGGGCAAGCTGAGCTCTGGGTTGGCCTTGGCAGTCGTTCCTGGCGATGTGGAATCAGCGGCAGTTGCAGGGCGTACATCTCGAGGGCCTGACCACTGGCGTGGGCACAAGGCAGGGCAGTCTGCATCCATTTCATCTGAAAGGCCATCGGGGGAGAATGAAAATGCTCTCCCCCAGAACTGTTTGTTGCGATAAGGCATCGAGCCTAAATGCAGCGCCGGTCAAGATCGCGGCATACGCACAAGCGATGCATCTGAGGTGTTGACCAGAAGGCTCGTGGTGTACCTGCGCCGCCGTAGAATTATTGTGAGTCCGCAATGTTAGGGCGGAGTACAACAAGGCTAGGCCGTTTTCTTGCATCTGCTGCATGCGGAGCGGTCGCAAGGAGGGCCAACGCACTGTGCAGGGAGGCTCCTCTCTCTGCTGCGCTGGCCAACGGCGACGACACGCTGAGCATCACGGCAGACTGCTACTCCATCGCAGCGGCGGACGCGGCCCTCGCGGCTGCGCTGCTGGCCTACTACACCTCCTCACACGTGGACGCGCTGTTGGGAGACTACCGAACAGGAACGGCGCAGGACATGCAGACGCAGGCCGCCATCACAGCCGCGCTGCTGGCCTACTACACCTCGGCGCAGGTAGACGCCCTGTTGGGAGACTACCGCACGGCAAGCGCGCAGGACACGCAGACGCAGGCCGCCATCGCAGGCGCGCTGCTGGCCTACCGGACGGGCCCGGACCAGGACGTGTTCACAACCAACCAATCACCTCGGCGCTGGTGGCGTACCGCTCAGCCGCCGACCAGGACACGGCAACGGCCTCGAGCATCGCAGCCGCGCTGCTCAGCTACTACACAATCGCACAAGTGGACGGTCTCCTTGCCGACAAGCTCGGCGTCACGGAGGCAGCCTCTGCCCTGCAAATAGCCGTGCGCTTTCCGGACGACGGAGGGGCCGACGAGGTGGTGGCCGCCATAGGAGAGCAGATCCTGGGCCCCACGGACGTCTCGCTGTCAAACTGGACGGTTCGCCCCAGCAGCGGCTGCAGCGTGGCCCTGGCCACGCACACCGCGGGCGCAGTGAGCGTGGACGGCTACACCCTGACCCTGGCGGTGAACCCCTGGAACATCGTGCGCACCTACAACTTGACGCCAGGCCGAGAGCTCCTCTTCGCCTGCCAGTACCGGCTCTCGTGGTGTACATGTCCGAGGCCGACAACGTCTACGACCCCCTGTACGGCAGCTTCGCGGGAGACGGGGGCGCCTGGAGCACGGCCAAGATGTACTTCACCGTGCCTCCGAACGGAGTTGCGAAGCTTCACTTCGGGGCGCACTTCCAGGCGCCGGGCCTGCCCAACCAGACGGCAGGAACGGTGGACGTCTACGGCCTCCAGATCCTGGACGCAACCCTGGAGGCCGGCAACACAGCGGAGGAGGAGGACACGGCGGCCTCGGCCTTGCTGCTGAAGCACGATGGAGGGGCCGACGACGTCACGCTGGCCACCCTGCGCGAGGTGCTGCTGGAGCCCACGGTGGTTACGCTGGGTAATTACCTGGTGCGCTCCAACAGTCAGAGCTCCGGCCAGCTTCACGGTGGGAGGCTTCCAGCTGGAGGGCTACGCCATGACCCTGAGCGCCTTCGCCTGGAACACGGCGCGCCTGGACTTCTCGGCGCCGCCGGGCGGAGTCGCCAAGCTGCACTTCGGCTGGACCTGTGCAGCATGCAGATCAGGGCCAGCGCCTTCGAGGGAGAGTCGGTCTCAGCAACGGACCTGCTGGCCGACTCGCTGGCCCTCACGGGCTCGGCCACGCTGGACGGGCTCACCGCGCAGGGCAACGTGGGCTGCGACCAGCTGCTGCGCAACGACGTGAACTGCACGGACGTGTTCACGACGGGCGTGGACGCCTCGGGCGCAGTGCATTTCCTGCGCAGCGCTCACAGCCACCGGCACCGTCGCCGGAGCCGCGCTGACGTCCACCGGCGCCGTGTCGGGCAGCTCGCTGAGCATCACCGGCGCGGCCAGCGTGGGCCTGCTGAGCTCCGCCACAGGAATCACGGGCAGCACATTGACCATCAAACAACACGGCCAACGCCGGGAACTTCACCACGGTGGGCGACGTGTCCACGGGCACGCTTGACGGCCTCGGGCGCAGCACGGGCGAGCTTCGCAGCCACCGGGGCGGTCACGGGCGCCACGCTGACCACATCGGGGCGGCGTCCGCGGGCCCGCTGGACTGCGAGAGCCTGGACTGCACCTTCACGGCCACGAGCGGCGGAGTGTCGACGGGCAGCGTGGTGTGCGGCGACGTGACGAGCTCGGGCACGGTCTCCGCGCCGCAGCTCTTCGCGTCCAACACGCTCACCGTGACCAACACCTCCGACTTCTCGGACGATCTCTTCCTGACGAAGAACTGGGCGGGCTGGAGCAAGCTGCAAGTGTCCAACAACAGCGCGGCCCCCGACAGCGGCCCGGAGCTGCGGCTGCTGGGCAACCAGAGCGCCAGGGTCTTCCTGGAGCGGGACGGTGGGGCGCACCAGTGCGAGCTCATCATGATCAACGACGAGGCGCTGGTGCAGACGAAGAGCCTCTCGACGCAGCTGTCCCTGACCACGAACCAGAGGAACCCCGGCTGCCTCGTGATCGCGGGCAACACGGGCAACGTGGTCTGCAACACGAGCTTCACGAACTTGTCGGACAGCCGGGTGAAGACGGAGATTGCCGAGGCCGACGTGGCAGAGCTCAAGCAGCTCTTCGACTCCGTGGAGGCCAAGCAGTACAAGCGCCCGGACATGAACGGGGACCTGAGGCTGGGCTTCGCCTCGGACGACTTCGCAGGAACGAAGTGGAAGAATTTGACGGGGACCACCCGATGAAGCGACGGCACGGAGATGATCACCCTCGACTACTCTCACCTCACCAGCGTGCTCTGGGGGGTGTGCAAGGGCTTCCAGGCCCGGCTGGACGAGGTGGAAGCCTGGCAGGCCCAGCGAGGGCCGAAGAACGAGTACTGCCCAGCTGTGTGAGCAGGCCTCCCTGCGTCCAGGGAACCTTGCTCAAGCTCCTTTTTGGGGCAACAAAGTTGTTTTTTTGGGACCTGGCCGACGACTTCAACGTGAGGGACCCGCGGGAGCTGTACCGACTCGCGAGGCAGCGCGACCTCGACGTGATGCAGGCCATCGCTGAAGGCCGACGTGGGCCGACAGGATCTCAGGGCCATGCCAGCCAGCTAGCCAGTGCAAGATCCACCTTGTGAAGGTGCAAGAAGATAGCAAAATACTGCAACTCCGCAAGAACAAAAAGCAGATCTGCAGTTTTTCCGACTCACTGCAAGTCTCTGGATCTGTTCCGGGCCGGAGCCATCAAAATGCTGTACGAGGGAGGGGCAGCGCTGTGCGTGCTGTCCTCAACCCTGTTTGATGCTCCATGCGCCCACTGCGACCCTGCGGGTGCCCACGCCCTTCAAGCGGATGCCTGCTCTGTGCAACGCGGCCCTACCCTCGCTGCCCCCCTGAAGCCCCAGGAAAAGCTTCACAGCCTTCAAAAGGTCGTTGAAGGGGGTCGCATGCGACTGGGTCGCCGCCCGCTCACACTTCGCTGCGAGGAAGGAGTTCACGGATGGCTTGTTGTCGTCGCCAGGGGGGGCGGCCATCTCGATCTCCAGTTCCCTCATCTCCGCCGGCTTGGGAATCAGCTCCATGCCCGGGTTGTATTTTGGTCCGAGCAAGGTGTAGAGGCCCTTCACAAAGAAGAGCAGCTGCGGGGAGAACATGCCCTTGGCGATGCGAGCCTTCAACGTGTCGTCACAAGATGCGAGCCCTGCGAGACCAGCCTTCGTCCTCGTGGGTCTTCACCCTGTGCAGAGGATAATCTGCGGGACGAACGCCGTGGCAGCGCCTGCCAGTAATCGGAGCTCCGCCCTGCTCGGCGTACGCCTTCAGAAAGTCCACCTGGAGCTCGGTGTGCTCTGGGACCTCCGAGCTCCAGCCTCTTGCTCTCCAGCTGCGCAATGTTCTCAGTCGGTCCGTTCTTGTCGCTCTGACCGCCGACCGCGACGTAACTCCCCGGCAGCATCGCGCCGTAGTTGTTATCCTCGCGGCCCAAAAAGCGCAGCAGGATCAGCAGGAGCACGTCCTTGCCACTGCTGCCAGGGCCGAAAAGGTGCAGGAACTCGCAGTGTCGGTCTACACCGCTTGCCGCCCTGGTGAAGAAGCGGAGGAGCCACAGAACCCAGTTGTAGGATCCGTACCGGCGGAGCAGCGTCACGAGCTCACATCCGTCCGAAGCCAACTGCTGGAAGGATTCGATCACCTTCCGCCCCTGCTCGTTGTCCTCCAATCCCTGTGCCCTCGTCTCCAAAAACGCCAGCACTTGATCGAAGATGTCGCTGGGTTGGTGGGGGACCACGTAGCCCTGGTCGCATCAGCCCTCACCCCCATCCTGTCGGACGGCCTCGCCTTGCGCTGGCTCAGGTCAGGGAGGTTGAGGAGCACTCCGTCGCTGAAGAGGATCTTGTCACGGCCCCGATCACCGTCAGGGCAGGCAGGCGGTTCCCGCCAGCAAGGCCGGCCATCACGGCGTTGCAAATGGAGCTCGCAAACGACAGGTCGTTCAACGGCTCCGGGGGGACGGCATCCCGGCCTCATGAGCCTCTTCAGGATGTCGCTGACAACAACGACGAGGTCGTCCTTGTGTCTTGTCTCCCAGAAGCCAGTCGAGGCGAAGAGCTCTAAACACGTCCTCTTCTCGCCGAACTCGGCCGGCACGTGCGCCACCGGCTTCAGGTTGGCAACCACCAGCCTAGCAAAGTCGGCGTTGTTCTGCCTCGCTCGGGATGATCGCACATGACGCCGACACCTCTCCTTCAGCGCCGCAAACTTGAGAAAGTGCAGGTCGCTTGCCACGCTCCAATCGAAGTTCTCGGCGGCAAACTCCTCCCACTTGGGCATGGGGGTCGTCTTCACGTGCGTGGACCCGCAGGCGTCTCTCACACGCTCGGCCGCGTCAGCGTAGACGGCCACACCGTCGTGCTCCAAGGACACCAGTCTCGCTCCAGCAGCCGCCTGCATGCGGTCGAGCAGAGCCCTCTCCGCGTCCTGGTAGACGGAGAAACACTTGGAGGCCAGATTCCGCTCTTTGCGCCACTGCCGAGCCTCGGGCGAGAGCACGGCCTCACACTCACGGAGAGTCTTGGAGTCCTCCAGGCGGCGCAGCCAGCTCACAGCCTTGGCAACCAAGCCGCCCTCCGCGACCACGGGAATCCTCCTCATGACCTTGCTCGCCCAAGTGGAGAGACTGCCCCCAAAGCCGATGCTGATGATCAACTTCTTGGCCTCCACCCGGGGAACGTCGAAGGCTTTGCCGATCATCTCCCGGACAAGAATTGGAAGTACGCGTTACAGCAGTCGACCTCAACGATGTCCATGCCAGATCTGCAGATGTAGCGAACGAGCTTGTAGAAGGCAAAGGCGCTCCGGCCCACCAGCTCAGGCGCAATTCCCTTTTTCAACTCAGACTGAAAGACGCGGGGCAGGCGCGCGATGGCATCATCCCGCGCTTGCTTGATCGTCGCGATGGCCTCCTTATCCTTCAATCCGGAGGGAATTTCTGGCACGTCCCCCACCCCGCAGCAGAATCCATTTGGGAAATCGCGCCAAGCCGCTGAACCCCCACAGTCCCCGGGCTCCTTGCTATATGTGCTATACGTGCTATATGGTATAGAATCCCGGTATCGAAGCCTCCTGCCCGGCATTGAAGCCGCGCCAAGCCGCTGAACCCCCACAGTCTCCGGGCTCCTTGCTATATGTGCTATATGTGCTATATGGGTCTTACACGCCAAGCCACTGAACCCCCACTCTCCCCCAGCTCCTTGCTATATGTACTATATGTGCTATATTATTCTGTACGCGCGTTAAAATATACTATATGTGCTATATGGAGTAGACCTTAAAAAGTATTTTAGACCCCCGGGTACCCCTGTGTCGGAAATACATTTTCGGGAGTGTGTTTTCAGCTAAATGGCATTCCCAAAGCTACTTTCTGCGACACCAAAGGCATGTATGGGAACCCCCCTAATGTCCTCTAATGGTGATAAAGTGTTGTCATGGGAGTGACCCACGTTGGTGGAAAACGTAACTGCTCATATTTGTTGTTCATGTTAACACCCTGACTTTTGCCCGCGTCTCGCAGCTGTTTCTGGCTCGGCTGTCATCGGCTGCCCCTGCATGTCGCCGGTGAGCTTGGCCGGGTGCTTATTATTGCCTATTGCCGGGATCTGCCGGGATTTGCTTTTTAGCAGATGTTAGCATATATTAGACATTAGTAGACCCTATTTGCATAATATGCTTATACATGCTTATACTGGCTTCATCTGGCTTCAATTGGCTTCATCTCATTGCGTTGGATGTATTGAAATTCTGACACTTTCTGGCATCTTCGATCCTTCTAAAGTCAGTTGCGCAAAAGATGCCATCATTAGGAGCTAGGGGTAATATGGAAATTTATGGGGCATTAGTAGGAATTTGCAAGAATTTGCATTAGGATTGTCACTTTACATGGATACAGTCACTTGCTGCTTGCGTTTTGGGTCGAGCTGGCTCGAGTCATTCTTTTCCCATCTGTTGTCCGCCTTCGCCGGTTTTCGCCATGCCAAGCTGGTGCAGCCTTTGTAACCTCAGCAAGCAAGGCGAGATGTGGTACTGCCCGGAGGCAAAGGATCACCGGTTTCATGAGTCTTGTCGCCGGTATATCGTGGGCGCCTTGGACTGGTTTGGCATGGTTTGGCACAGTGTGGCAGGGGTTCCTGTTTTCAATTGTTTTCACATGTCTCGCTTCTGCGATCTGGTGCCATTCAGACACTTTCAAACACCCTAGGACGTGATCATTTGTGCCCTGAGGCGAGTACTACAAGTACTGGGTCGACCATGTGGACCGCAAATGGGTCGAATTCAAGAATGAGACAGATTGGTGACCAAGCTCAAGAGAAGCAGCGTTGGATCTAGGCTTTGTAAGTTTCTTCATGTTTGTTCCATTAGTTCCATTTGCGTGGTGTTAGCATGCAGGTGGTAAGATTTGGCACATTTGGGATCATTTGGGCACTGCGCAGGTGCCCCATCTGCGCCATCGCCGGTATGTGGGACGGATACGTCGGTCACTGGCCTCGCACGGTAGTCGTGGTGGCCAGCGGGGCCAAGGAAGGCTACAATGTGGAGGCTGGGTGACGCCAAGAATCACGACAAATGCAAACGTGACCCGATGCGACCCGACACAACCCGCATCAACCCGCTGTTTGCCTAACTTTCCAAATGATGACATGATTGAAATTGATTGAACAAAACTGAATGACTTTGACTGACGAGTGGTCGGACACCCGGACGGACAAGCCTTCAATTTGTCACGGCCCGCGCCAGTCAGCACATTTCAGGTGCAGATGCACCCACAGAACTTGCCGCATGCCTTCGCCGGTGGCCGTCACTCGAAGAGCGCCGCTTTTCACGACATGAGCCTTGGATAGCCTTGGCCGGAGGTTTGTCTTTGGGCTGGCGGGATCTGGCGGGCGTCTGGCCCTTTTTTGGGCACACCACACCATACCAATATAATGTGATGTAATGCAATATAGTTTGCTAAGTGTCGTTATGTTACAGCATGTTACAACATTTTGCAAATGCATATATGTATATATATATATATATATGTGTGTGATCGTACATGATCGTACATGCGCATGAGGGTATATTAATGATTACTAAATGTTATATTAACATATATGATAATGTGCGTATGACAATGTATGATTGCGATGATGCGTGCATGCACGCATGCGTGGGTGGGTGAGTGGGCGGGTGTGTGATGGTGTGTGTGTGTGTGTCTGTATGTGTCTGTGCGTGTGTGTGTGTGTTCATGCGAGTGCATGTGTGCACGCGCTTGGGAGAAAATGTGGAGGGCCTTGTCAGGGGTTGGCAGGGCAATTCGGTCTGATTATGACATGTTATGAGATGTTATGAGGTTTCTTATAGATAGCGTGCTTGAGATATCGGGGGGGCACTTTCGCGCACATCCGCGCGATTACTCACTGTATCTCACTGTAACGCAGTCGCATGTGCGCGCGTCATGGCTCGCAATTCGCTAGAGTGATATAGAGTGATCGCGTGCATTTGCGCGTGATATCGTGTGATCTAATGCGATCTATGCGATATATGCGATAAGATGCGATAAGTCTGCAAGGATGTTGTGCTGTAATTGGTGGTGAGTGATGATCCTGCCTTTGTCCTGAGGCGCCTGGCCTTGCCCAACCCGCACCGTCGCCCAAACCCACCTCCAAGGAGGGGGAAGAAAGCCCACGGGCTGACGTCGCCGGTAGCGGAGGAGATCTACCAGCAGCCGCTACTCGCATCTACTTGCCACATCTTTGCATCGCTACAGCTTTCTATCGTACAAATGTGTGGTTGTGTTTTTTTAACGTGGTGTGTCTTGTTATGTCTTGTTAGATCTGGTTAGATCTTGTTAGATTTTGTTAGAGGATGTTAGAGGCTTTTGATCATGCTATTGAAGCCACTTTAATCCATCTAATATCATCTGATACGGCATAATACTGCATCGTCATCGTGTTATACAGTGTATTACAGTGTTATACAGTGTTGTTTGGGCGCCCTGTGCTTTTTTGACGCGTTGCCTTGGCCGTCAGGTTCTTCTTAGTGATGTTCTGGGCGATTTTGCTGCAGGCTGCTGACTACGTCGGGCCTCCCAACACAGACCAGCAAAGTGTTTGGGCTGTTTGCGCGGTTTTCAATGATATCTCTCTCTTTTTTGGAATTTTATTATTATACATTATTATACCTTGATAATTCTTGATACATGCACAATTATGCACGCGCTTTCCCTTGTTCCAGCCGGCGCAGGCTGCACGAAAGGTGATGAAAGATGTTAGTAATTTGCGAACAAATGAGACTAACTAGGACAAACTAGGAGAACCTAGGATTCTTCGAAAGTGCAGTTGAGTCGGACCACCATGCTAGGATCCAATGCAGTTGGGGGGTCCACCGCTCTGTGGCAGCAGCAGCTGCCCTCGCCGGTCTTCTCTTCCGGTCCGGCCGCGCCTCGGGCACGCAGCTTTAGTGAATTTTGAGCATATTTGAGCGTGCTGATTGCTGGATCACGCTGGCAATTTGCCTTCTGGCGATCATGCCCGACACACCCCTAGGCACCATGATTTGCCATATGTTGCCATAGATGCCATAGATCGGCATTGTGATGCATAGTGTTCCGTAGGGTTCCATCATTGCAGTTTTGCACGCTTAAGACATCTTAAGACATATTCAGTCTTGTTTGTTGTTTGCTTTTTGTTGGTGTTGTTTGTTTTTCCGGGGTCTGGTTAAGGCGCCGTTCGGCTTTTGACCCCGAGCTTGCACGGATACCATTTGGACGAGCTCATCGCCTGGTTTCGCAACGGCCCTCTTCCAGAGTCAGGCTCGATGCCAACATGACCAACGATGCTTGTTTTCATACGGTTCCATCACGCATATGGTTCCTTGATGTTTCTCTAAGTTATCACTTGGAACCTTCCTGCATTTTTGTGACTACAAATTTCGATGAAAACTGATCAAGAGGTATATCGAGCAGTTGTTTTATCTTGTTATATCTTGTTTTTCTAGTCACGCGTTCGCCACAATTTGCCTGCTGTGGTGACCAAGAATCATTTATCAGGCGCTTCGCAGGGTCTGGGAGGCTGGCCCTGTCACCACATTGTTTGTTTGGTGTATTTTTGGCTATTTCGGTGTAGTTTTTTCAAACCTTCTACACATATGGATAAACATGACAATGTGAATCAGCGCTCGCAGGTGCAGTCTTTACAAAAGATTTCTGCATGAACGCCCAGCTGCTTCTAGGCATCGCCTTTCTGCCAGAGCCTGTCCAGGAGCCTGGCCTACAGATTTGCTCACAGATGGCCATTTCATGCCACTTCTAGCCTGCTGTTTTCTGCTCTTGGTCATCGGCCCCCACATACCTTGAGCAATAACGTTGAAGTGGTTTACGATCATTTGCGTATACTTCAACATAATTCAACGGGGCCAGCAATTGTAACTTGATATAACTTGATGTAGAGCGCTTGGCAGGAGAACCAGCCTGTGCGGGTCGTCAATTCGTCGCCGGTCTTCATTGATTTGACCGGGGAGGTGGATGAGGAGGACGAATCGCGGGTCTCCCTGCTTCAGGATCCGACGATCGCCGGTTGGCTGCACTTGCAGGGGCTCGAGATCTCGCCGGAGCTGGCCATGTCCTTCCACCGGCTGCATTTGCACCGTCAGCAGAAGTTGCTGCATCTTGTTCGCAAGCTTAAGGTGTGGCACGCTTTGGCTAGAAGTAAGTACTT